CTATCACCCTGAAGGGGTTTGGAGAATGAAGTGAGAATTGGGATGTGAGGCTGGGGAGGAAAAAAGGTCAGTTATGAGACTGCTATTGTCTTTGACATAAGTTAATTTTGAAGGCCTGAATTAAGGCACATGGATTCCAGAAATGCTGAGATGAAATCAGCAGGGATCAGCTGTGGTGGCTCACACCTGTAATCCTAGCACTCCGGGAGGCCAAGGCAGGAGGATCACTTGAGGTCAGGAGGATCACTTGAGGTCAGGAGTTAAAGACCAGCCAAAGCAAAAGCAAGACTCCATCTCTACAAAAAAAAAAAATAGAAAACTTAGCTGGGAGAGGTGGTGGGTGCCTCTAGTCCCAGCTACTCAGGAGGTTGAGGCAGGAGCCCAGGAGTTTGAGGTTGCAGTGGGCTATGATGATGCCACTACACTTTAGCCAGGGTGACAGAGAGCCTGTCTCAGAAAGAAAGAAAGAAAAAAGAAAAATCAGCAGGCCTAGATGGCTGATTAGATGTAGGGGAAGGGTTGAGTCTGGGCTAAAGGGGATATTTGAAGATACTGGGTTTGAAGTGCCTATGGGACATTCAGTTAGACACACCTAGAGCAGTTGGATATTGGAATCCATACGTCAGGAAAGATCTGGCTGGATATTTGGGGATCAGCTGATACAGGTGCTGGCTGAAGCTAAGGGCCTGAGAGCAATACCTGTGTGAGAGGCACTGTGGACACTGAAAAGGGGACAGGTAGTGGAATTCTCAAAACACCACAGTTGACAGTGATGGTGGATGAAGAAAACCAAGATGGGGCCAGAGAAAGTAGTATCACTAAAGCCAAAAGAGGAGGCATTGGTTAGCATTGAGACTCCTGCAGAGCTTGGAGGGGAGATAAGCATTGAAACAAGCTAAAAACTTCAGGGGAGAGAAATGACTCCTGCTAATGGAAAAAAACCCAACTCTGTAAGTAGTTTAAAGAGGTTTATTCTGAGCCAAACATGAGTGACCATTGGCCAGGCAATCTGTAAATTCAAGAAGCTTTGAGTATGCGGTCCCAAGGAAGTCAGGTTACAGCTTGGTTTTATACATTTTAGGGAGACAGGAATTGCAGGTAAAATCATAAATCAGTATATGGAAGGTATACAATGGTTTGGTAGGAGTGCATGGGGACAGATGCCAGGAGGGAGGGAGGGGCTCTTACTCAGGACAGCCACCTGGGAAGGCTGGGAGGACTGACATCGTGATGCTATTATATGATTTTCTCCAAAACTGGCTCAAACTTTACAGCTGGCCCTTGGAATCCTGTTCTGGAAACACTGCCCACTCTTGCTTGGTGAAAGTGAGGCTTGGCTAGAGGGAAGGTTGTACCCTACTGGACAGGGGCTCTGAAGTTAATAATGATAAAAGAATTATAACTCATTACCATCACTCTGACTGTGTTGGCTGCTCTCAAAGGGAGAATTTCATGGCAAGGGAAGAGGTAGTTGCTAAAGAAAGGACAAAGAAATAATCCCTTCTCTTTCTGACCACAAGTTTAGAATATTTCATGATTCTGCACATCAAAGGAAAATTTAAGTCCTTATCACCCACAGATAAAGGATTGAGATCTTTGCAACACTCTCATTGCTGAGAGAGATAAGGGGTCATATTCTGAGTTGGATGCTGTGGTGGTTGTGTTGCTGGACTGCCTGGTCCCTTTGTGGGTATCAGGTTACACACTCCAGGGGATGGAGTTATTAAGGAGACTCTGAAACCGGTGTGGCTGCATTTAAAAAAATCTCATTTGCAAGGGAAATGATGATTCTGCTAACTTTTCCCCTGTGCACCTTTTCCTTTGAAGTTAATATTCTCTTGGTCTTGTATCTCTTTGTTTCTTAGTTCTATAAGCCTCTTCCTTGTTTATTTTCCTTAAGAGTGAAGTGGAAATAATTTTCTGGAAAAGGCTTGTCAGCATAAAGCCATGGGGGAGGTTGATGCTGTGAGGCCTGGAGGAACTGTCACGGGCAGAGCTCTGCAGTCATAGTTTTCTGCAGCCTGACAATAAGGAAGCATCATGTTCTGTCCTTTCTCCCTCAGAACAGACAGATGTTCTGGTCTTTGGAAATTCAGTTGGTTTATAAGAAATTGCTATGTGATAGACACCCTATTTTAAGGATATGAAGATAAGTAGGAATTGTGCAGTTATGTATTAAACTCTGGATACAAGAATTGTCTCAGGTTGGTTTGGGTGCCCAAAGATGATGGAAATACCCTTGGTCTTAGACAGAATGCAGATGGGGCCTACTGGGGAGCATTTTTAGGGATTCCTTCTTCTAGAGCTTCTTATCCCCAGGGGCTCACCTTAATTTCTCCCATCCCTAAAATCAGATTGGTAATTTCATCTGATTTCCCTCTCTGCTTCACAAGAGATAGTAGAAGTCTGTATCTAAAGAGTAGAGCACTTTAATTCCCCAGAGCTCCAACTAGCCCAGCTCCCCCAGGTTACATGTTGCTAACAGCAGGAGGACAACTTGAAAGGTCACCCCATGTCCCAGGCCCATTCCTAAAGTTTGACCACCCCGGTGAGTTAGAGAAGCCTCCATCCAGAATGTAACTCCCAGGCACTCAGACCCCTCTGCTGGCTGATAGTGGAAGCACTGCATAGCTGCTTGTCTTTTTGTTTTTAAATGAATTAACGTATTCTGATGATCATTTGCTTTTTCTCTCCCATGCTCCCCTGTCTCTGTGTTTCTTTTCCTAGCTGGCCCCATAATCCCTAATACATTTCTCTTAGTGTCTTTAATTCCTATCTTGAGCACTACATAGCCTGTTCCTGGTAGGAGATCACTGTCTGACAGGTGCTGGCTAAACGAATGCCTCAATACAGGGTTACAGGGGCTGCCATAGAAGTAGGTACAAGATATGGAGGGGATATTAGGCTCTCCACTCATGAACCATTCCTGCATCTCACACCAGATGGTCATAATAATGGCAAATGTTTTTGCAGATGTGGAACCAAACACTTAAATACTTTGCAGGCATTATGTCCTGCAGTTCTTGTTCAGCCTTGTGAGGCAGCTTCTCTGTCATTAACTCTACTTCACAGACGACAAAACTCAGGCCGGAGTTATGCAGCTTGTTGATGGTGGGGCTCAGGATTGGAGCTTAGGTCTCTCTGGTGCCAATGTCATGCCACGAACTATGCTAATATGACCTCTTCAGATGCTCTGGGCTTTCCAGCCCGTATCTTGGCAAAAGTTCTTTGACTCTCTGCCCGGAAGTCTCTTCTCCCCTTATCTTCTCTAAGAAGTTGTGACTTCTCCTTCAAGACTCATTTCAGGGGGGAAATGAGCCCCCTTCATTCAGAGGGCTGCCCCCGAGCCCCACCTTCTATTTTGGTTGTGTTTGCAGAAACCCTGTGAACCAGTGCTTGCCTTTAATGGAGCATTTATTCACTTATTGCACGTTTTTATCTTGATTCCCCTACATGCCTGTCTGCACAGTAGACGGTGGCCTCCTTGATGGCAGGCAGCCCATCTTTATCAGCCTTTGTATCCTGGTACCTAGTACCTAGCACAGAGCCCAGTTCATAGTTAGAAAAATAACAGGAGTACTTCGCATTTACTGAGCACCTATCTTGGGTCAGGCAGAGTGCTAAGCACTTTGTTTTTCAGATTCTCTCACTTAACCATCACAACAACCCATGCAAATGTAGAATCATTACCCCCATTTTACAGATAAAGAAGCTGAGGCTTAGAGAGTTTTATAACTTGCCCAAGGTCACCCAGTAAGTAACAAAACCAGGGCTTAACTTCAGGTCTTTCTGAACTGCTTTCACATTTTATTAGTTTTCATGCCCTCCATTTTTTACCTGATTAGATTTTTTTTTTCTCTTTCAATATTGATTAAGAAGTGTGAGTAGGAAAATTAAATTTTCTATGCTAAAATTAGTAGTGCCCAGAGCAGCACTTTTTGTCTCTCTCCCAGTTGAGGGTCTTTGAAAGAAGGGGACCATTTAGATAAATCAGATATTGAACTTTTCTGAAGAAAAAAGTTTGGGAAATATAAGTACAGAAGGTAATATAGATATGCTCAAAATCTATTTCTTTACCTAGTAATTTCACATGAAATTTTGCAGCAATTTTATGAAATATTTTATGAAATAATTGCTGTGTTCATCTGGCTCATCTGTCACCTAGAAATTCCAAGTGTAAATTAAGCATTTCCGAGGCCAGAAATTCACTGAGTACAGATTTAGTCACCCAGGAGAGACAAATCCAAAACTACTTGCTTTCCAGAGCAAAAAATAATAATAATAATCTTTGCAATTAGATTTTATGTTAAGTTTAGGCCACGTGTTAATTTTGTTTAACTGGTAAGGTATCTTAGAATATGCGTTGGTCTTTACCAACCTAATTGCTGAACCATTTGCCTGTCTTTAATTCGAGGTTCAGTTAATTGCCTACCTCAGATTTTTAAGTTACCAGTGAAATTGGTGGATAGTTTAAGATTAGGTGGGTGCTAAAGAAATAGAGGCTATCATTAGTAATACCAATATTTATAATTCTTATATTTCAACATCATACTTACAATATTTCATGCTATCAGAGCCTGTATAATGATTACATGTTCGTGATACCTAGAAAACCCCGTAGCCTTTAAAAGTAAGTAAGTACCTATCGATAAGGCAAGTAAGCCTTATCGATATCATTAAATCTTGACAGTCATTGAGTCATCGATATCATTACATCATATCAGGGTAGCTAACATTCCCACTTTACAAGATGTGGCTTTGCCTCACACCGTACTGTGTGGAAGGCACAGAATCAGAATGTTAGGGCGGTAAGAGATCTCGGTCCAACTCCATCATTGTACAGATGAAGGAAACGAGCTTCAGCGAAGCAGCCTGCAGTGCCCTTCTCCCCCTACTGCACTAGAAAGCCACGTCGCATTAAGGGAAGCCACCGTTGCTCGGCCACCTCGCTGCATTGGTGTCTCACCGCGGTTTTGCCCATCTTCCTTCCCTCTCTCCAGGTTGCACCCCCGGCCACACGGCGCCGTGCGGAGGCGGGCAGGCCGCAGCCATGACCACCGCCATCCTGGAGCGCCTGAGCACCCTGTCGGTCAGCGGGCAGCAGCTGCGCCGCCTGCCCAAGATCCTGGAGGACGGGCTGCCCAAGATGCCGTGCACCGTCCCGGAGAGCGACGTGCCCCAGCTCTTCCGCGAGCCGTACATCCACACCGGCTACCGCCCCACCGGGCACGAGTGGCGCTACTACTTCTTCAGCCTCTTTCAGAAGCACAACGAGGTGGTCAACGTCTGGACCCACTTGCTGGCGGCCCTGGCCGTGCTCCTGCGATTCTGGGCCTTCGCCGAGACCGAGGCCCTGCCGTGGACCTCTCCCCACTCCCTGCCGCTGCTCCTCTTCATCCTGTCCTCGATCACGTACCTCACCTGCAGCCTTCTGGCCCACCTGCTGCAGTCCAAGTCCGAGCTCTCCCACTACACCTTCTACTTCGTGGACTACGTTGGCGTGAGCGTTTACCAGTATGGCAGTGCCTTGGCCCACTTCTTCTACAGCTCGGACCAGGCCTGGTACGAGCTGTTCTGGCTTTTCTTCTTGCCGGCAGCTGCCTTCTGTGGCTGGTTGTCTTGTGCTGGCTGTTGCTACGCCAAGTACCGTTACCGCAGGCCTTACCCGGTCATGAGGAAGATCTGCCAAGTGGTGCCGGCAGGGCTGGCCTTCGTTCTGGACATCAGCCCTGTGGCACACCGCGTGGCTCTCTGCCACCTGGCTGGCTGCCAGGAGCAGGCGGCCTGGTACCACACCCTGCAGATCCTCTTCTTCCTGGTCAGCGCCTACTTCTTCTCCTGCCCAGTGCCTGAGAAGTACTTCCCGGGTTCCTGTGACATCGTGGGCCATGGACATCAAATCTTCCATGCTTTTCTGTCCATCTGCACGCTCTCCCAGCTGGAGGCCATCCTCCTGGACTACCAGGCCCGGCGGGAGATCTTCCTGCAGCGCCACGGGCCCCTGTCCGTCTACACGGCCTGCCTCTCCTTCTTCTTCTTGGCAGCCTGCAGTGCTGCCACCGCAGCCCTCCTGAGGCACAAAGTCAAGGCCAGACTGACCAAGAAGGATTCCTGAAGCTGGCTGGTGGGGCAAGGTGTAGAGGCAGCCTGTAGTGATTTGCAGAAAACTTGATGCAATAGAAGTTGACTTTTTATTTTTAAGGGTTGGCTTTTAAATTAACATATTTGCAAGGATGTGCTATAGCTGCAGCATTTGAGAGCCAAAGGATTCAGAGTTTCGTTGTTGTCAATGAAAGGAGTTTTCCTTTTCCTTTTGGGTCATAGCCTTACACGGCACAGGCAGGGAAGGGATCTTGGCTGAGATTCATGGGCCACTGAATTAAGGACAACCATCTTCATGCCTGAAAATTTAGTGACCTCCAAGGGCAAGTCCTAGAGCTGAATGGATAATAAAATTAGACTGGCAAGTAAATAGGTGGCTGGTCCTCGCCCGACTGGCATGGCCATAGCTACTGTGCTGGTCTTTGGTAATTGAGTAAATTAAGCCAAGGACCCATTTCATTAGGATTTCAGATTGTCCAGGGTGGAAAGTCAGAATCTTCAAGATGATTCAGTGAGACCCTTAGACATAACTCAGTTCCTCTGATTCCTGTCCCTCCTCTCTCATCCACTGTAATACTGACCCTTTTCTCAGGATGACTGTCTTCCTGGTTGTTTTCCCTGAAGTGCTGTTCACTCCCATCCCTACCTTGCATGGTAATATAAAGGACTAGGAAACAGTTATACTTCTAGGAAATGCTTGGATTCATGTAGACATTCAGGAAGCATATCATCATATATTAATGTAAACGGTACTAGAAAGTACAGTGCCAAGAGCCACTTGGAGGCCCAGCCAACAAGCATGGATACTGTTTGGTGTCATGGGACCCTTCTGTTTTATACCTGTGAACTGCAGGATTACTTGAGAGCTATTAGGGCTGCCTTATAGGCCGAGAGATCTGGAGATTGCTCTAGGGAATCATCTCCAGATTTAACCAGCATGTTTAAAAAGCCCTTAGTAGGGTGATTGGTTCTAAGGCCCCTCTAGGGATCTAATTATTTTAAGAGGAACCCAAGGTCCAGTCTCCTATATAGGTGCTGCCTCATGAAGGACCCACATAACTATCCCAGTTCAGGGTCCTCAGGCAGACAGTTCTGCCTCAGTTAAGAGCAGAACCCTTAAAAATAATCAAGTCCCAAGACAGGCAAGCATGTGTGCTCACTGTGGAGTGGTCCCTGAAGCCTCCTTTGGGTGAGAATGTGTGAACCGGGTACCCTGTAGCTGAAATGCTCTGGAACATAGCAGCCCAGCATCCTCTATGGGATGGGTGGTGCTTCAATTGATGCGCTCTGGCCTCGCAGCCCTCTCTGAGGATTGACTTCTGCTCTAATCCAGTGAAGGAGGCTGAGCCAAAGGAAGGACTGTGAAGTCCTCTCCTCAGAGGCTACCGTTATTATCAGTATAAGTTCCCTTGTTTACTAAAAGGGGAAATGGTTTGTTTTAACTCCCGTTAAATGAACCTCTTCTATTACTAGGTTACTTTGTTGTCTTCAAATCGTTTTTCCTTTCTCTGAGAGATTTGTGGGGTTTGTGCCTTATAAATGGAAATGTATAAATACTTAATGTATGCCTATGTAGAATTTTCTGTTTTGAGTTATTGGAGTAAGAAAAAAGAATTCATTGCTTTCCAACGAGTGAATGAAACTTTAGAAAGCTAGAGTTGCTTACCAATCAGAAGACTTTTTCAGTCTAAGTATTTTGGCCACAAAAAAAAAAAGTATGTTCAACTGAAGCTTTCCTATAATCTTTATATCAAGAAAGCAGGTGTCTTGTCAGCTACAAGTTTTCCTAGATGAATTTCTCCTGTTTATCCTCAAAGATCTGAACTTCTGTGTACCCAAGTGTCTTAACACAAGCTTCTGGTGTCTAGACCAAATTCACAGCAAATAAAGTTGGCAAAACTGGGAACAGAGTTGAACTGAACAAAGGGGATGGGGGAATTGTGCAAATACTTTGCAAGTAGAGAGTCAGTTTAAAACAGGGACTAGAAAGTGAAATTTTGTTATTATGGATTCAAAGTCTATATTTTTTAAAAGTTGGAAGGAGAAGTGAGGGAAGAGGGCAAAAGAAAGGAAGGTGTAAATGAAGATCTTGAATATAACTGGTGGTATTGATGGGAAGAGATCTTTAGGTCAAATGCAGGTATTTTTAAACAGAGAACAGGAGGTAGAGCAGTGATCCTCAAATGCATGCACAGAGCAGTGCCAGTCTGCACACTGTTAATGGCCTATAACATAAGAGAGAAAGAGGCACCAAACTTAGATGTTGCCACACGGTTTTTATTTTAACTTATATAAGTATTGGCCCCTCAAGTGTTTGAAAATTAAAAATAAAATTTTTTTTATAGGAGATATTTGAGAGGCATTGAGGTGGTGGACTATGATACGCTCTTGAAATACCAGTATCTTACTAGAAATATATAAACACAGGAAATGCAGATGTTTTTAACTACTCAGACTTTTGAGAGATTAAATACTCCTTTTAAAACACTTTAGTTAAAATGTCTGTATCCGTAAGGAACAGATCCAGTTTGCTTAAGGGAATAATTAAGAATTTTATAAAGGAGA